AGTGAAAAACTTGCCGAGATTCAGCTAACAAACGGGAATTTTGCCGAGATCTCAGCTAACAAACATATTTTTTGCTGAATTTCCAGCAAAATAAAATGCCGAGCTGCTCGGTGGTGCCCATCTCGGCAAAAAAATCTAAGTGTGTACGTTTCCTTCTGCCTCACCTATAGATCCTGCGCATCGGTCTCGTCTTTACGCATTTGATTTTTGGAGGTTTTGTTTCCATTCACGACGACTTCAGCGATGTCGAATTTGAATTTAAATAAAATTCCCTCGAATTTTCTGTCGATTGATACCTACTTCGAGAGGAAAAAACCTTTAAAGTGAAACGTGGAAAGAGTGACTTGAAAATACATATATTGAAGGAGAAAGTGATCTGCTTGTTATGCATGTCAGAGGCTAAGAAGAGGCCGGGTGATACCGAGGTCCGGAATTGTAAGTCGAAATGGATAAAATAAACAGACACATCTTAACCGATATCGAAGAATCTGGAGATTGACTTGATATGGATGAGCAAAACCCGTTATCTAGTATGGAGGAGGAGCTAAATGCTCAACTTCCGAGTTTGTGTGAAATGAATGTCAATGTTCCGTCAAGGACCTAAATAAGCCCCAACACTTATAACAATCAGCGTAACACGTTAGCATTACTTACGTAAGATGATGAAAAGTCTCGAACTAAATAGAGCTGGCGTGAATGCTTTATTGAACCGTCTCACGATCTCATATTCACAGCACATGAGTGGGCGCTAGTTGAATACTTCCGAAACTTTCTTGAGCCGTTTGAGGTGAGTTTTTTTTTTTTTAAGTCGTGGTTCTGAAACTATAATTGTAAACTTTTGTTGCTATATCTCTAGCAACTAAGCCTACTAATAAGTTCCATCTGACCGATTGGTGACCATATAGGGTTTGAAAATTAATATCCAACCAGTGCATTGAAGATCAGATGTTTGTTTACTGATACACTAGACATTCGATAGCTGAGAAAATAATGCTGAATAATAATGCAAAGAAATGCATTTAAAAAGCATCAGTTAGCCTTGACATTTTGAAATTGCATCATTTTGGCAGAAAATGTACTTCAACTGAAAAATTGTCTCAGTTGCTAACACTTTGATATACGACTCCACCCCCTGCAAATATAAATAAGCACTTGATTTACTTTTCTAAACAAGTTCTGAATGCACGGCCAATGAGAACGACTCAAAATTGAGTAAGAGTTACTCATATTTGAGTTCAGGTTACTCAAATTCGCGAAAACGTAGCTCACCCAGAGAATGAGTCAATTTTCCGACGCTTTTTCGAGGAAAACTTCTCGAATATGAGGAAAACTGAATGTGGTTGTAGTCGTTCCACTAGTACACTTCTAAACGTGTGTAAAATTTTCTTAAATTTTCCACATATTCAAGAAGTTGTTCCCGGGAAAGTGTGGCAAAATTTATTCACACTATGAGTGACCTACGTTTTAGCGATTTTGAGTAATCTGAACTCAAATGTGGGTAGCATTTTTTGTACATGTGGGATTAGTTTGAAAAGTATTTTTTTTCTAAATCATTAAAAATAAACTCACGCCGACCCACGCCGCCACGCCGCCGCCGCCGGCAGAAAATAACATATCACGCCGCCGCCGAAAATATTTTGATCGGCGCACAGGTCTAGTTTTGTATCATTTTCCCAGTTCTCGTGACCAGCGTTTTGTTGAAGTTTTAGAGAACTGGCTCGAGAAATTTCTTAACTCTATTAAATTAAATATATTGCCTGGTGATTTTAATACTAATTGGTGTGATAACTATAATTCTAATCATTTGAAGCGTTAAGCTGACTTTCCAGGCACAGTAGAACTTTAATTGATCATCTCCAATTCAATTTTGATTCAATTTTGATTCCATTTGTTCAGAAACATATAGTGATTTAGAAATAACCGATCATGAGACATTAGTGATTAATGTATTAGATAACATCAATGATAACGAAGATTTTGTAAAATTTAAATGCTGGAAGAAATATGCTAAACAGGCTGTTTCGAATCTTGTGGAGAGAAGCATGGATTTTCCATTTGCGTCCGGTAATTAAGATGAATCTACAGCTGTTCTTAATAACGCTTAGAAAACGTGTACCAATCTACTAGTTGAGCAAAAGTTTGTTTATTTGAAAGACTCGAACAACTGGTACAATTTGGATCATTTGCATCTTAAACGGAAAAGGGACAAATGGACCAAAATTTTGTAAATCATATATTGGCAATCATTGGAATAGGTACACAATCGCGCATAATCAGTATTCACACTCGATAAAGAAAACTCGTTGTGAATATGTCCAGAGGAAGATTGATCAGCATCAAAACAACAGCAAAGAGTTATGAAATTTTTTGAAATCTTTATTAAAACCTAGTGATCGCGCACGGGCAGAACTTCCCTACGTTGTGTGAATAGATGGTGAAAATAAAACACGGTCGTTTATCGGGCCATCCTGCCATGGCAGAGGCATGCGAACTATTGAATTTATTTGCAATCTTTACAATAGAACGGTAGGCATGATAACACTACGCTTGCGGCACTTGTGTATTGATATGAGTATTTGGGTAGGGTAGTTGCACACGTTTTGTACAAACACCTAGTAATTGCAAACCTTGGTCCATAACCTTTAATGGCACATTAGAACAGTCAGAACAAGTATTTGCATCTAAATTTAATGATTATGTTGTCGACAGTGTTTCATTGATTATTCAATCCATTGAATTGGTCGATGAACCTGCAGGTTAATAGTAGTTGTAGATTTGAAGGTTTTCACCCAATTATATTAGATGAACCTAGAATTATTTGCTACTCATTAGGAAAATCGGCTGGAGTAGACAATGTTAATGCTTGAGATATTCAATATTGCTTTCATGTCATTGACCACATCTTGCTGGACCTTATTAATGAATCATTACAAACTGGACATGTGCCACAAATTTGGAAGGAATCCTTAGTGGTTCCTATTCAAAAAGTTGTTTAAAAAAAAGTTGTTTAAAAAGTTCGATTAAAGCCGAAGAGTTTTTTCCCATCAACATGTTGCAACACATGAGAGAAAATTTTAGAACTTGTTGTTATAAGGCAAGCTGTTGGAGTATTTGAATAGCAACTCTTTGTTGACATCAGAACAATCGGGATATCGTGAAGGTCATTCTTGTGAAACTGCGTTGAATTTGGTATTAGTGAAGTGGAAAAATAAAGATACGATTGTTGCTGTTTTCTTGGATCTAAAACGCGCTTTTGAAACAATTTCTAGGCCCTTATCGTTAAGATCAATAAAGCGCGTTGGAATTACGAGTACTGCATATAAATGGTTTGAAAACTATTTGTCTGACACAAATCAATGGACTGTTTTTAATGATTCTGTTTCCAGTCCCGTGGTGAATAACCTTGGAGTGCCCCAGGGAAGTGTATTAGGGCCCCTGTTATTTATTATGTATATTCATGACTTGCGACGTGTTTTACGATTTTGCGACATTAATCTTGTTTGCAGATGATACTGTGTTATTCATTGCAGCTAAGGATTTAGATGATGCCGTTTTACACTTGAATGAAGATTTCGTTCGCTAAGTAGATGGTTGAAGTATAATCAGTTGAAATGGAATGCAAGTAAAACTAAATTTGTGGTAATTTCGCGGAATCGATTAAATGAGAACGTCTCTGTTGATAAATAAATCGTCCAGCTCAAACCTTTGTGAGAGTAAACGATGGGATAGTCACCATCATCATCATCATCATCATCATCATCATCATCATCATCATCATCATCATCATCATCATCATCATCATCATCATCATCATCATCATCATCATCATCATCATCATCATCATCATCATCATTCTCATAAAAACTTTCTATAATGTTGCTTTATAGTTTCCTGAGATAGAGATAAAAGAAAATGATGGTTTGTTGAACATAATGAAATATAACAAATTCTCCCTTGAACCGGGGGTGATTTGATCATCCAAAAAATTTGGATTCTCAAAATGTAGACTAGCACAAACATTTTCTTCAAATTTGGTTCAAATCGACAGACGCCATTTACACTTATGTATTTTTTGACGGTCACTTGGCGCAGAATGATCCACATTTATTTTCTACAAATTGGGCCTTTAAACCAAATGATGACTATGTACAACAAACATTGCGTTATTATTGACTATACAATGTCCAAAAACAAACTTAAACAATATTTCCATACGTAACGATAACTAGGAGAACCATTAATTTAAAATTATGTAAATGCTCATACGTATTGTCCTAAGATAAAGCTTGATGGATTAAAGTGAACTAGTGTCAATGTAACAAAAACGGTATGCAAACATGATTGACGACAAATAAATAGAAATTTCCATCAGTTTGAATAACAAATAAATTTTTGAGAGCGGTGTTTATGTTTTCACTACCTTAAAGATTTTTTTAAACTACAGGAAAAGATTTAATAGCTTTTAATGTATTGCACCGAAACCGAAGATTTGGTAACACTTGATCCGCGAATTTGTATGAAAATGTGAACACTCAATTTGGGAAGACTTGATGTCCAAAAATGTTGACACACTTGATCCCGGGATGTGTGTGAAAGAAAATGAATATCAAAATACAAATCATCAAATGTGGAACAAATCACTCCCATGCAGGGATCAAGTTTCTACCAATTTTTAAAATGCTCAGACACCTATCTCTTGTAACATAATTGTGTTAAGACAGTTTTAACGTTTTGATTGACTTCTTTACTTCTACCAAAGATAACCCATCAGTTGATACAATTTGTTAGACACAATCAATCAATCGCGAGAAAGGACGATATCTCCATTTAAAAATCTCTACTGCTCAAAATATGCTGAATTCGTGTTCGATTGGACATTTTGTTCATTATCACTCTTGCAGATATATCCTCCCAGAAACAGATAACTGACAACCCGAATGGTGAGCACTTCCACCCGAAAACTTACTACCCGAAACTCCTTTTCAATTTCACCAACAAACCTTCAAAAGATCAGATTTTTACTCTTTCTCCACACGAGTGTGACTGCAAAATATACAAAACTGTCGATCCTTGCTTCCGGAATTAATTAATAGTGTCAACAAAAACGGAAACAGCACTTTCGATGCTGCCTTTGTTGTTGCTTTCGGCACTCTGGTGCCAACGCGCTCCACTGACCATTTTTCCTCCCACCGCAAGGCTTCGATAAAAAACAGCTCACTTCCACACAGTCCCGGTTAAAGTGCCTCCCTTCTACAGGAATTATTTAATCCATTCACAATAGCTTTACCAGTCACTTATCATCGACCACAATCTTTTTCCCATTCAATCAAGAAGCCAAAACGCTTCAAATTATTAATCCTTGATCGAATCACTTTTCCAGTCCGTTAAATACGTTTCATTTACATTTCCAGTTTCTAGACACGTACACACATCGCCGGGAGAAATTATGAACGTTCATCAACGCCTCACACACTGTAGACAACAACCTGCAAATATTTCACTCAAAGAACTGCACCACTGCTTCCCACGCTACAGAAGGAAACTCACTCACAGTATGAAGCACTGAATGCCTAAGACCATCGGCAAACATCAACCCCTTGCTGAAGAACGTTGAATGACGGTGTTTGATGGGGGCTTTTCCGTTTTTATATTACACCATGCGGGACCGAACCATGAACATATTACAATCGGCAGCCGGGTTCGTATTCCGACCGACAAGCAGCGCCACCGAAGACAGAAGGGGGATTTTGCGCGCCAACCATCAGCCTGTTGCTGCTTTTGCCGCCCCATGGGTGGGTGGGAGCAGAGGACACGAATCACGTTGTTGGTTGTATTTGCGGGAACCCAGCGTAGAGGCCGAAAATTCCCGCGCTTTTATACCCGAGAAGGGCTTCCAGAATACGATTCTATACCGCTTCAAATATGAAGCATCATTTTGGGAAAAGTTAATAAGCAAGAATTAAATAACATCAAAAATCAAAAGCTAAAAATATTCGCCGAAAACAATTGCTTGAGTCCAAAAAATCGTTTCCCATGCACAAATTGTATTTATTAAAAGTTTGGACTTTGGAAACAAGGTTGAAGGAACACATCGCAGAGGTAAAAAAGGCTAACAAAGAGATGGATAAAGGACTTCATTATGAATTTAAGTTCAAGGTTGCAGAATATATCGTTACAAAGGGGCACAATTTGACAAACGATAACATCAATATCCTGCGAAGTGTATCTTCGCCTTGGAAACTAGACGTAGCAGAAAGTTTAGAAATATTTAAACATAATCCATCAGCATTGCTTAATAGAGATCAAGGAAACGGATACTCGAGACTCTTAGGCATGCTAACTAAAACCACACATCGTAGCATGTATCTACCTGTTGGAGACTAAATTTAGGTACCTGGTTAGGTAAATTGTGACATGGCAGTGGATACGTGCTGATTTTTAGTACCTATTGATTAGTATTTAACTCGTAGATAAAAGATGGATTCTTCAGTGGTGTTGAGTACTTGGCACTGATGAAGTCTGCAAGTAGTAGACGAAATACGCGTATCTGTCAAAAGATAAGCAGATCCTTGGTGACCCCGCGCAGAAAATGGTTCGGTGTAATAGCTTCAGTCTCCTCTGAATCTTGTGGTAGATAAGTCAACGGACGAGAATTTACCATGTCTTCCGCCTCGGACAATGTGGCCAGGAGTATTGCATGCGTCAACTTCCTGCCGTCATCCAATGCCCTCATCGCCTCCTTCACTGATCGCACCATTCTTTCACAGCTTCCGCCCATGTGAGGTGTTCCGGGAGGGATGAAGTGCCACTTGATTGCCGGACTTGAGACGCTTTCAGCGCATACCGCACTGATCTTCTGCTTCGCTTTGGACATCTTGAACCCTTGAAATTGGTTCCGTTGTCCGAAAAGAATTCGTCCGGTGACCCTCGCTTGCAGATGAATCTCCTTATTGCCATCAGACAAGCTTGCGTGGTCAATCACCACCTCGAGGTGAATGGCTCGTACCGCAAGGCAAGTGATCTCTTTTCTCTTCGACGCCCGACCAACATTCTACAGGACAAAGGTAATCAACTCCCACCGAGCTGAAGGGCCGGAACTATGGCTTGACCCGTTGAACTGGTAGCAGCGGCATCACCGAAGCTTGTGACTGACATCGGTTGACTCGACACCACATGCAGTATTTCACGGCTATTGATCGAAGCTTTGGGATGTAGAAGCGTTGTCGAAGCTCGTTAAATACGGTTTCCCGGTTGGCATGACCATACTTTTCATGGAAGTGTTGTATAATCATACTTGTGATCTAGTGTCGCTTGGGAAGGATTATCGGGAATTTCTTGTCGAAAGGAACTACTTTCGACAGCGCCAATCTTTCTCCAATTCAAGCGATTCCGTCAGCATCGATGAAGGGACTCTGCTTGTAGATCCAGCTCGACTTGTCAACGAGTACTGCCCCAAGTAACAATCTAAATGCTTGGAAGATTTATTCTTATTTTAACATTTTTTTTTATCATAGCATCCCTTGCAGCCTGTGGTTGTATTACGGTTTTGTGTGCTTGTCATAATATCAGGCCTTCAAGTCATCGTTAAAACTGTTTTACGACTACTAAATTAAAGCTCAGACTTCATAGTTTTAACGGTAGCTGTAAGGTGGTTCTTTATCACTACTTATAACTGCAGAATAAAACCAAAATAAAACATACAATTATGTTTTATGGCATACTTTTTATGACCGATACAAACCTTTAAGCAGTCTTAGACCTTCATTAAAACCTCATTATAACTATCATTTTTATCAGAGGCCTAATATTCACAGATAAGAACTATACTACAACAATAACAAAAAATACTCTGAAAATTGTTGCCAATATAAAAAAAACAAATCTATTCAGATACATGAATGAAAACCCCTTCATTGCTTTTGAACACGATGAAGATGAGACGATCGCCAATATGAAACTCCTTGAGGATCTAAAGTTCTGAGCTCCTTCATATAACATAAGGCACAATGCGGTGAAGGAGCTCTTAAACATATTGAACAAGCGGCTTTCCGATACACTTCCGAAAGATCCATGAACCTTTCTTAAAACAACGCAGACAGTTTCACTAAATTCGGTTGGAGCTGGCCAGTATTGGCATCACGGCTTTAAACCTTGTATTGAAAAAGCTTTTAGTGGATCCAATAAGCATTTCTTACATCTTGATTACAAGAGAAAATAGGAGGATCGCCTGGAATGTTGACTTTTGGACAGGTTGCCCTGGATTTTGTTTTGTTTTGATTCGCTTACCGAATAAAACCAGCAAGTTAGTTATAGAGCTTGAATATAACTTAACGCTCTCAATTTGGACTACAAAATGCTAAGATACAACCATTAGGTTTATGTTACGCTATAGAATGCCAAGCTAGGAGAATATGTTAAATTGAGGTATTTTTAAGGAGTAGCAGGTTATAACGAAAAAAAATGTCGCTGTATGAACAAATTTCACACAGTATGAATAATTACGCTTTAATTGATAGGCATCAAACATCGAAAGAATAAAGCAACAATAAAATATTTCTCAATATTAACTATCATCCAAAAACCCCAACTTAAAAAGGTTGTCAAAATGTTTAGCGTATCATGTTTTATCAACTTCTTCAGGAGCGATTTATGCGGTTGTAATATAGTTTTATGGTAGTCATTAAAAGGTTGTTAAAAATTTCTGACCCGGAGGAGGTTTTATGGTTTCATTTTTAACAACCACGTGTAGAGTGTGATAAAACTGACATAAAACCTATGCTCCTAAGGTAGTTCGCATATCAAGTTTTAATGATTGCATTAAAACTGGGCCAATTGGCCATGACATGGCTATATAGCAGTTTTCAGTAGGTTGTTAAAGCAATGTGGTCGTCAGTGAAGGTTTTATAATTTGGTTGTATCAACTGCTATAAAACTTCAATAAGACAAAAAATGTTGCTTGGGTGGTGACTGATTTGCAGATTCTTCAGCTCCTCCGGAAAGCTTCCTGCTGGGCTTGTCTCACAAGAATCCTTTCTCCTGCTTGAAGCTCTTCTTGAAGAAGTGGCCACCGGATGAATTCCGGCTTGGCTATTATCGAACGCTCCAAGTAGCGTCCAGTCATCGACGTTAGGATTGGCTTTCTAGCTATTTTTCTCCGACAATCGGCAATGAATCGAACTACGCTGGCTGTGAACGTTGATCAAAGGACTGGAATTCGACGCTTCGTGGAATAGCGCACACGCTTTCATCTCTTTCGGGACGTCGAACTACGTTTTCTTCTGCTCAGGCCACTCTGAATTCGATTCGTACAGGAACTGTAGTCCGTTGAACCATGGACCATCTGATTCTAGTGGCGGTTCTTGCCCCCACTTCATTACCTCGGCGATGTTCATATCGGACGGAACGTACCTCCAAGCGTTTGTGGAAGTCAGCTCCAGAATTTCGCCAATTCGAAAAGCAACGAATTGCTTGAACTTATGTTTATCCGACCGGATCCAACTAAGAACCGTTTGAGAATCACTCCACAGAACGGTTTTGGTAATAGGAAAATAATGATTGGATCTTACCTATGCAGCATCCTGACCCCGAGAACAGCAGCCATAAGTTTGAGACGTGGAACCGATTGTAGTTTTAGTGGAGCTACCTTTGATCGTGACACCACCAGCGAACACTTCACGTTTCCGTCGATTACTGCTCTGAAGTAGGCTGCACAACCGTGAATCCATGCGCATGCGTGAATACTTGCATCCGTGAAGACATGCAGTTCCAGGGAGTTGATTGAAGATGAGCAGACGTCTTTGAAGTAACAGCGAAGTATGCGTATGTCTTCCACCTTCGGCGACAGACCCGTCCAGCGTTCCCACTTTTCGAAGCTCTTGTCATCTAATGCGTCGTCCCATTCGCAGCCCATGCGCCACAGATCTTGCGCCACCATTTTCCCGTGAATCGTAAATGGTGTGAGCAAGCCTAATGGGTCGAATAATCCCATTACACAACTCAGAACTATCCTCTTCGTAGGACGCTCAACATCCATCAGATACGGTC